AAAAAACTAAAAATAGAAATTCCATTTTACCCAGCTATTTTCCTTCTACATATTTTCCTGAGTCAGAGACATATTATTAGAGCAAGATAGGTATGTGTGTGTGTATCTCCATGATAGCTAAATCTTGGGAACAGCCTATATGTCCATCAGTTGACGAATGAATAAAGAAAATGTATTTATACACAATGGGATACTACTCTGCCATGAAGAAAGATAGAGTCATTTGTAGGGAAGTGGATGCACCTTGAGACCATAACGTTAAGGGAAATATATTAGACACACAGTTTAAATATCACATGGATTTTCTTGTATAAGAAAAACAAATTATAAATAAAGAACAAAATAAAAGGTAGATAACAGGAAGTAGGGAGATAGACCTTTCTCAAATGGGAAGGAGATCTAGTGATGGAGGGGGAGGAGGAGAAAAAGGGGATAAAAAAGAATAAAAGGAATTAAGAGATGTACATGTACCAACTCCACACAAGGAATGAAAACATTATGTTCTGCAAATATGTACCAGTAAAAAATGGTGTTTACTATTGGTTTGTCATAAATGACTTGGATTAGATTGAGATAAGGTCCTTATGTACCTGTTTCCAGGGTTTTTATCATGAATGGATGTTAGATTTTGTCAAAGCTTTTTCTGCATCTATTGAGATGTTCATATGATTTTTTTCCTTCTGTGTAAGTGGTGTTTTACATTTGTTAATTTGCATATGTTGAACTATCCTTGCATCTTTGGAATGGAGCATCTTTTTAATGATTTTTTGCATTTTGTGTGCCAATATCTTTTGCATCTGTGTTTCTTACCAACATTGGCCTGTAGTTTTTTGTTTTCTTTTTTTCACTTAAATTTTTATCTGGTTTTAGAATCAAGGTAATAATAGCTTTCAGGAATGAGTTTGGTGTTACTCTTTCCCTTTAAATTTCATTAAAGAGTTTGAGGAAAATTGGTGATACATCTTCCCTCAAGTTCTTGTAGAATTAAGTGGTGAATCCATCCAGTCTTGTGCTTTTCTTAGTTGGTAGGTTTTTAATTACTTCCTCCGTTTTCATTCCTGTTACTGGTCTGTTCAGTTTTGGTAATGCATACATGTCTAGGAATCTGTCCATTTCTTCTAGAGTCTCCAATTTATTTAAGTACAGGTTTTCACAGTCATTATTACTAATCTGGATTTGGCAGTGTTTGTTGTGACTTTGCTTATTTCATTTCTAATTACATTAATATGGCTCTTCTCTTCTATTGGTAAGTTTGGCTAAGGATTATCAGGGACCTGTCCAAGGTCCCCAGTTGTGTGAGGGGTATGGCAAAAGGATGAAATAAGAGACAGAAACAAATTCAGTAATGCATGACAGGGGGGCTGGGAAGTTAGTGCCTCTGGAATGGGAGAGATAAAGACACTCCAAGCTAGCCACTGTTTATTGAGTGCACACAATTATCGGAGGGAGTATTGGAAGACTCAGAGGGCAGTAGTGATCTTATACTGATAAGGCTTTTTGGTGAGGATCCTGGGATGAGATAGCAGGTTTATAAGGAGTTTGTCCTTTCTTTCAGGTGAAACCTTTTTTTAAAATTACTATTATTTTTCTTTTATTACTTCTCGGAACTAGGATGTCTTCAGCTGATGTAATCTTGCCCTGGAGCATCACAGCATCACAGGACCATTTAGGTCTCAACTTTGGAGGCACACAGAGTTGTTTCCACATACCACAATTTATTTATGAAATTATTTTTTCCCCCAAAATTATATGGACTGGCCCTCAACAAGGATTTTTCAATTTTGTTTATGCTTTCAAAGAACCAGCTCTTTGATTCATTGAGTCTTTGTATTTTTGTGTCTTAAGTTTCATTAATTTCTGCTTGCATCTTTATAATTTTCTTCCTTCTACTAGCTTTGGGTTTGAATGGGATTGAATTGTTTTTCTAGGACCTTGAAGTGGGTTGTTACGTTATTTATTTGGGCTTGGTCTGTTTTTCTAACGTGGGCATTCACAGCAATAAACTTCTTTCTTAGGACTGCTTTCATTGTCTCCCATAGGTTCTGATATGCTGTATTAGTACTGTCCTTTGATCCTAGAGCTATTTAATTTCCTCCTTGATTTCTTCTGTGACCGACTGAGTATTCGAGTATATTACTTGTCATCATGTTGTTTTTGTATTTTCTGTATTTTCCTTTGCCATTGATTTCTAGTTTCGTTGCACCAAAATCTATCAGTATATGTGGGGTGATTTCAATTCTTTTGTACTTACTTAAGAATTATGGGCTAGTATGTGTGCTGTTTTGGAGAATGTTTTGTGTGCTGCTGAGAATATATTTTGTTGTAGTAGGGTAGAACACCCTTGTTTAGTGACATCATCTTTGAGTTTCTCTGTTTCTTCTTTTATTATTTTATATAATTTGGCCACCCCGGCCCCTTCATTGGTACCCCTTGGATTTGCTTTGGGGGAGTTGGGAGTTTCTGGAGGCATTTTATTGCCCTGTTTTCTCATAGTTTGTTTTTGTTTTTGTTTGTGCAAACTCCTTAAGAGCAGTCATTATGGCATTACTTGGTGGTCTTTACCTTTTTGTTTTGGTATTCAGCACTGCTTCTCCCTAAATCCTTTGGGAAACAACAGATACCAACATACAGGAGCCATGTACCCAAAACCCAACTTACTAACTTGCTGAACAAAAATGACCTGTAGTAGATATCACCAGTTTACCTTGTTTTTGGTGTTCACTGTTGATGACACTTTAGGTTATCTTTGATGTTTTCACTGTTATAGATGTTTATGCATGGACATGTGTGTGTGATGTGTGATGTGTTTACGTATATGTACATTGTGTTCATGTGTATGTCTATCCTCATCCTACTGTGAATATTTTACAGACAGGTACTTTTCAGGGTATCCCCTTAAGTGTTCTAGGTTTCTTTGTGGAATAGTCACCTCTTCATTAATACTTTGATAACATTGAATAAATAAGCAAAAGTATTGCTCAGTAAAAACAAGGCTGTTTATTTATGAAATGCATTAATTAAACTCATAAATCAGGGTATATTGTGTGAAATGGGGAGAACATGAATAATTTTATGAATTAGCTAGGTTGGTGGGTGATGCATGCATTAATCCATTCCTAGAAAGATGGGACAAGAGGATCACCAAGAGCTCAAGGCTGAACTTTGGAGTGCACATAATTAGAAAAATATAGTTTTATCATTACCACTGATGTTTTGTATTTGAATCTATTCAAAATATCTTTATATTTTTTTTCTTTGAGGTGGGATCCCTGATTGGCACCAAACTCAAGTAAACTTGTTTGGCCTCCCAACTAGTTGGGGCTATAGGCATGTACCATCACACCTTTTTCTTTACAGCACTGTTCAGTTTTGTTTATTTGTTTTTGAGACAGGGTCTCACTATATACTTCAGGCTGGCCTTGAACTCAGTATGTAGCCCAGGCTGTCCTCAGAGTCACAGCAATCCTCCTGCCCCCGCCTCTTTAGTGTTGGAATTACAGGCATACCACCATTCCTGGCACAGCACTGGTATTGAAAGAGAAAGTGAAATTAAGCAAAAGTAAAACTTTGAATGAATGTATAAATCAAGTGTACTAACTTGCCTCTCCAAAGGGTCATGGCACAATCTCTGGGGATAGCATATGGGTATGGTTTTTTAAAAGCATTTTCAAAATATATAGTATGGTTTCATTTTGTAAAATGAAAAAAAAAAATTATAATACAACCCATAAGATGTAAAACTGAGTAGACTCCCCTTGGTTTGGCTCCCCCTGTGGTGAAATTTGGATTAATACAGGTTTCTTTGGATAAGTAACTTTTTGAAGGAGTGACCTGTCATTTCTCTGTTGAGATTCATTATTTACATAGATACTTTGTTTCTGAAGAGGTTTTTCAAGCTTAAATTACATGGTTTTGAGGAAAAGATGAGATAGAACCCAGAGATAGAATGATTTTTCTTGTGTTTGGTGAGTGGACAGTACTAAGCCTCATAAAAATAATCTAACAGACATACTTGGGAATTTGATGGAAAGGTGGGTAGAGCAAGTTTATCAGAACATGGTGTAGGTTAAAATAAACGAAAGGCAAAAACCTCTAAGCGGTTGTTGATCGCTACCTTGATACTACAGTGGTATCTGCTTTTGGCCAACTGAATTATAGCATACTGCGCAGCTTTAAAACAATAAGTATACGGGGTGTGGTAGAGCATATATTAACTCCTGTGTTAAAAGTAATTCCCCTCAGTTATGACTTAATTAGGTTATTTTCTTTACATGAGAAGTCATCTAAAATTCATTAAGATGGTACAGGCACGGGGCTGGGGATTTAGCTCAGCGGCAAAGCGCCTGCCTGGCAAGCGCAAGGTCATGAGTTCGGTTCCCGGTACCGGAGAAAAACCAAAAAAAAAACAACAAAAAAAAAGATGGTACAGGCACAGTGGCAGCCAGGAACACATCATTAATTTCTTACATATATGGAAAAGGAATAGATGACACACTGAGTAATACTCATGGTGCCCTTCTTAACCCCATTTTTGAGTTTTCATAGTGCCATTATTTTTGTTTGTATTTTACAGCTTTTGAGATAGTGTCCTTGAGTACAGATTCTTTCTTCCAGAAGGCAGTTTCAATTCTCTATACCTCTTTCTTTGGATTCTACATCTAAGCTTGATTTTCAGTATAGTCAAGTGACTTTTGTGAAAAATGACATTTTCTTAAATGAGGTGAGGTACTTGGTATACACTGTATCTATGAGGGTCTTGTTTATATTTGAAAGGCAAAGGCCCATCATTTTTGGTATATAAGCTTAATATTTTTTAGCTGTCATTTTTGAAATGAGATCAGATATCTTTTGATGTGGTCACTAAGAGTGTACTATGTTCTTGGGAATCGAAAAACAATACATTTAATTTAGTGTTTTAGCAGGACTCCAGAGTTATATTTAAGAAGTTAATTTGCAAGAGACATTATGTTTAAGCATTTGGTTATTTTGTCTTTATACAGTACAAAACTTTTACCAGCAAAAACAAGCAAGTAACTGTACTTGAGAAGAACTTCAAGAAACTTACGGGTTTCTTCTGTTTGAAAGTGAGAATCAGGTAAGGGGATCTGGTTGTAGAAAATTAATTTTGTGATTTTACACAAAAGAGATTTGATTTTAGAACTTCTCATAGTTTCTCTTTGATTTCATCTTAAATATATTTGTAAATTTGTGGTGAGATTTGGATTAGTACAAGTTTGTTTGGATTAATATTGTCTTAAAAGTAGTGAACTGTCCCTTGATTGATCAATATTGCATGTCTCTATCTGTTTTCATGAGAAACCACTTTGAAGATACCAATATGTAATACAACAAGCATTGTTAATTTCATACTACTTTGTAACTCTGTATTGTCTGTACTGTTCTTTTGCTATTTTGTAAAAGGTGGTCTGTCTGTCAATGTTTTCCTCCTTTTATTTTTAAAATAACAAAAAAAAAAAAGAAAAGAGAGAATTGAGTGGGAGGGTGCCCATCATGGGACCCTAGGAAAGACCCAAAAAATCTCAATTGCTCAGCACATTTTGAGAAATTTAGGTATTGTAGACGAGTAAGTTAGGTAAAAATATTATAGGCTGTTAGATTAGGTTCTGGAATGAGTCAGTGCACAAGATGAGAAAGCATCAGAACTGTGGCTGGTGCCTCTCAAGAAGATTAGAGTTACAGTGGCCAGGTTTCCATAATTCCATAATGCATAAATGGAATTTTGAGGTTTTTGGTACCACCTGTTTAGGATTTCCCATATAAACAGACCATAATCTCATTAGAGTTAGGCCATCTTCTCCCAGTAAAACTAAGACTAAAGACAAGGCTAAGGTTATAGATTATAGGCCAGGGATAACGATGTCACAAATATGCACTTAACATATTGGATCAACATTAGCCAAGTGCTTATACTTGTAATGGTATTGGTTGATTCTAATTTGACCCCCATTTTACCCACCTCAGAACTTTGCTATCTGAAACTTTGTTGGAGAAGTCCACTCCTTGGTCAACCCATGTTCTGGTATTCTTTCTCTCACAAGCTATCTTTCTCAATAAACTTCCTGCTATTAAAAAAAAAAAAAAAAAGTAGTGAACTGTCATTTCTTCATTAAGGTTCATTATTTACATTTGTTTCTGTAGAGGTTTTTTAAGTTTAAATTACATAGTTTCATGCCTGTCTTTGAAGATTGAGCATTCATATTATTCCCTATACCTAAATTGTAGGAAAAGGAAACTACTGCGTACAGGATTTGTTTCCAAAGATGTGTATGGCTTCCAAGATAAAATTTAAACAATACTAGGGATCTAGTATCTTCAAAACCTGAAGTAATTCAGAAGTATTATTTATAGTGGGCTAATGATTGAGCAAAGGCAGGTTTGCTTAAAGAATAATTAGTACTAATGTTAGGATTATATAGTAATGCTAGAAAAATTTAATCTCCTTTTAACTTAATCATCTAAATCCAGCTAAGATGTGCTATGGGCGTATACTAAAAAAGACATTTTTAAATTTAGTGGTCATAAAGCTATAACTAGAAAAGATACTTTCAAAAGTACCCTTGTTTGATGGTTTGATGGTGACATTTTTGTTAACAGAAATGGTGAGATTTTATGGAAAACTTTGGATCATTAATTGAAACACAATTGCAGTTCATAAGCTTGAACTTTCTGCCATGAATACATACAATGAAGAGATTTTTGTATTTTATAGCTTATAGACTATAAACCACTCTTTCATGGCCTCTCCCAAAACTAATAATAAAAAAAGTATATTTTCTTTAAAAGTAGCATTGTTATGTCAGCATAGACTGTGCTGGCAGCAGTACTATCATCACTGTGTAATCCAACCAAAGGTAAGTCAGTTAGGAAAAAAACAGCCCTCTTCTTGTACAAGATGAGATTTCGTTAATTTTATAAGATACATGTATTTAAAGCCCATCTCATTAATGTCAAATATATGCTAATCTTGAGAGTCAGAATTTTAAACGTATTTATGAATGAGTTTTCTAGTCTAAAACTTAAAACACTTTTTAGTGCCTAGACGTTAGTACTGTCATGAACATTGCTTCTAAACTGTGATAATGACAATAAGAACACAAAATAGAACTGATGAAGCCTAGCAACTATGGAATGTTAGGAGAAAGAGAGATTTCAGCTGTATACTTTAGTGATACTAGTAGAGGAAAGACACAGAAGAGAAAAAACAGAACACTAGTGTACCTGGTGAGTTAAGAGAGGTAAATTAAGAACAGATTAACACTAGATTTTTAATGTTCAGCCTTCTCATTTATAAAATAGATTAATAAAGGGTTGAGATTTTGTAAAGGGCTTAACCTAGGACCTTTTACCTAGTAAATGGACAGTAAATGGACTCAGTAAATGGATAATATTTCTTTTTATACGTTAAATTTGAGAAATAATGAAATAAGTGTTTCTGAAATAGCCTGCAGATGGTGAAAGTAGTCAGGAAATGGATCAGAACTGGGGCTGAGACTGGGGCACTAGTTTAAGCCAGTACAGTACATTATTACTACATGGGAGAACAGAAGGAGAAGGTGACCAAGAACCACTCTGGGATTATTAATGGGACCAAGGTATAGGGAGATTATGGGCATATGGAAGAAAGACTAAGCAAGAGTAGTTTATAGGATGGAAAATTGTGAAGTAAAGTTCCACATAAAAGCAGAAGCATCTCAAGAAGAGGGATGTTTAGCTGGGCAAGTGGTACATTGATGGAAACCGCTATGAAGCAGCCCCAAGCAGGACTTAAATTAACCAATTGGCTTTTTATGTTGCCTATAAGTCTAGCTACTTGGGAGGCTCAGACAGGAATTACGAATTTGAGGACTGCCTGGACAATTTAGGCCTCTTCTCAAAAGTTTTTCAAAAAGGGTGATATAGCCTAGTGATAAAGTGCTTGACTAACTTGTTTGAGGCCCTGGGTCAGTCCTAGCACTGCCCAAAGAACAGGGATGTTTAGCACTGCCAGGTATTAAAGATGATAAAAGTCAGGGCTGACAAGGATTACTGGACTTCATGGCTAGATTTCTGTTGACTTTTTAAAAAATATGTTCATTAAAATATAATTCACATTCCATAGAATACACCTACTTTAAATGGTACATTGTGGGGTTTTGCTTTTGTTTTTTTTTGTTTGTTTGTTTGTTTGTTTGTTTTTTGTAGTACTGGGGATCGAACTCACGACCTTGTGCTTGCCAGGCAGGCGCTTATGCCACTGAGCTATATCCCTAGCCCTGGGGTTTTGCTTTGTTTTTTGCCCTT